ATATTTGCATTTTTCCGTTGTAACCTATATTACAGATTCCACAAAATATATCTCATGTCTCCTTTTCACGGATGGTCGATCACTATTACAACATAGTGACACCTTCACGAAATCTGCCCAAAGGAGGATGTTAAAAACCGCCGAGAAATGATGTAGCGAATACGAACTATCTTCGCACGAAAACTGAAAGGCATGGTGAGCAGAAATACCCATTCTTAAATTAAGCTTTCAGGTGAAACAGTTAGGTACTTGGAAAACCGAGTAAAAGCAATCTCACCAAAAACTACTTAAAATCTTCTGAATTTTTGATGAATGAAAAATAGAACGCAATTTCGTTCAAAGTTTGAGCGATATACTGTTATTTCTAATATGGTAATTAATTAAAAGACTAAAAGACTTTAAGCATAAATTTATTGTAGTACGTGATATTACTTCTGTCTACAACGATAATCCATCACTAGTTGCGCCTTGTACATGCTCTCTATCTGCGTTAGTCCACGACATCATTAGAAATATTTAACGCTACTTTGAAGGGATTTCAATATTTAGATAAAGATTTTCAATTTTAAATTTAAAAGCGTACATGTCTTAGTAAACATCTTCAAGAAACACAGTTTCTGCCTAATGCTCTTTTAAAAGTTGCTCACCGTAAGAAAAAAGGTTTCTTTTAGCTGACTTGTATATGGATAACAATTACCCTATGGATATATTTCACTCCTACGACTACCTTAACGAACAATGAATGGGAAGTTCTGAAAATCATTTTTTCATGTTATAATTAAAGTCAATGGTAATTTTTCTCTTCCTGCTTAAAGGGCTCTTTCACAGTTTGGAGAACGCCAGTTTGCATTTGAACCTTTCAAAATAATTATCAGGATGCATTTCTTGTAAAAAAAGACTGACTCTTCCCTCAGCATTTTACGGCACTCACACTCCAGCCAGACCTGTTGAACAACTTAAAGACGCTTGCCGTCTCAACACTCGAGTACTTAAGAGAGGGCAAGGGCGTAGCCGTGGGGGCAGGCCTGGGGTGCCCGTGACCCCCCCCCCCCTTGATAGGTCTTCTTTAGGGCAAACAACCTACAATGTTCAGGTGGCGAAAACGCCATGACAATATCTCGGCCGTAAAAGCCATTGATATGGGCCTTCATGCCGCGATAATACGACTGAGCCTGCTGATACACGCGGGAGAGCAGCGGTGTAAATGGTGAGTAGCCTCTGTGACCCCCCCCCCCCCTTTGAAAAATCCTGGCTATGCCCCTGGAGGGAGAAGGGGTCGAATGACCCACACTCAAGGCTCTTTAAAAGATGTTGTCTCCTCAGCTTACAGTCAAATTTCAGATTAGGATCGAGGCCAAGGAGAAGCGACACAAAAACGTAACAGCAGCATAATCTACACAGTCATCGTTAATGTTCTGACGTTACTCATTTGGTACAATGACCTTAAAACTGGTTCCTTCCTCGTATAAAATTGAAGCGGTCTGTTTCTACACCGGGGCTGCAATTCTTCCAGAAAACAGACTGTCGTACAGATCTTAGTCGCACTCTAGACGACGAGACATGTGGACAGACTAAGTTATGATTATGAAACAAGAAGGGAAAAAATAATAATCATAATCATGAAAATAACGAAAGAATAGTTTCGATGTACATGATAACGATGATGATCGTTTTTTTGCAGTTCATCAATACTTAACATTCTTAATAATCAGACAACTAACGATGATTTGAGTACTGATCATGTCGCGTCATCACCTAGCTTTACTGGTTAATTAGTACAGATATCTCTTACTCACTCCTGTGCAAATGGGGTAAGTCACACTGGAGATTGAGAGGGTTGCTCTTTAATTTGTACCAAATTAATTGTTTTGTGCTGTAATTCGTACGCATCACAAGAAGAGTTAATTGCCCAAAGAAAAAAAAAGCATAGGGTAAGAAAAAACAAAAATTGTAGCATTGAATAAACATGGACACGAGGAAGGATGCTGTATATGGGGTAGACCCAAGACCACACAGAGAAGGAACACAGAGGACGTGAAAGAAAAAGGTTGCAGTGTCGATGGAGTTCCAGAAGGTGTACAATGCAACTACCTAGCAGAACTGGAAATTGCAAAGAGACAAAGTGCAAGAGACCTTCCATGTGCCACTCTGTGTAAACAAGACAGGTGACAACTACAAGGTTATCCTAGAAAGAGCTCCATAACTCATCTCAATCAAATTGCCTTTCATGTGATCTGTTTTGTCAGTATATAAAGCAATCCGATAAACAAATTTTTCAATTCAACATCACATATTTCACATAAAAAAAAATGTAGCGTATCAACGAACTCTTAAAAAAAGCAATTAACATTGTAAGGAAATCAGAACAGTAAAACCTTTATAAGAATCTTGTACTGAATGCAAATGGTACAATTAAGAAACTGAATACAAAGCAATCTTTAAAAAAATTTCAGATGTAAAAACAGTTGCATTGATTGCACAAGGCTCCATGTCAGTTTACCTAGCTGACAGTAAATAAATAATTCATTACTCATGTTGAATTATCTGAAGCAAGTTGCACAATTTGCACAAAGATTTAAAATGTTCTTTCCCTGCTTGGTGCCATTTGGAACATGCAAAATTATATGGTTGCCACTCATTATTGTCATCATTAATATTATTGTTATTATTAATATTATTATTACTATTATTATTCTACTCCAGGGTTTCCAAAGGAAAAGAACAAGATAATAAAAAATGTTTGTGGCTCAACAAGTATTGTTCAACTGTTTGACCCAAATTTGTTCCATTCAAGAAGATTTCCTTCCTGACAATCAGAAGATAAACTGGAATTTGCTTAACAAATAGATTCCATGCTGCAATGTATCTGTGGTTGGATGAAAAAAAAAAGTGTCAAGCCAGGTGCTTTTGTGTGTCACTGAATGTTATCACCAAATTTTGACCTCTTCAATGATTCTATTACTGTTTGTGTTATATGATAAAAAAAAAAGCAAAATACTGTTAATGGTGAAATCATTTATGTGTATGTCCTTCAGTAGATCATGAAAGTGCACGCTTTGTTCAGTTCATCGTGTTAAGAGGAGTGAGCATTAATGGCCAGGAGGAAAGAGCATCTACACCCAAAATCCCTGCTGGAGATGAGAAATGATATCCTATGGAACAAAGAAGTTTCTGACCGCGATTTTGAAGATGAAAACCAAGTGGAATTGCATGACTTAATCATGCCAAGCTACTAGTTATAAATAGTATCGTATTAGGTATAATTGTACTTCACAATACCATTAGTTCATTTAAAGAAACAGAATTTCCTTATTTGCATCATTACATCATTCAGATTGGCATATTTTAAGTCTAACTTCACTCTGTGAATTACACATTTTGGTACACAGATCAAAACTTGCAAATTAATGGAAATTTTTGTGAATGGTTTAGTAGTGAATGGTTTATTCGATACCTCAATAGCAGCATAGGCTGAATTGCTAAGGTTTACAATGTTATTAAGGTTGAGATCGGATGTCAGCATTATCAGGCCCCTCTGGCAGCCGCTTTAGTCCAGGTAACGACCTCACCTTTCCCCCTGCACATCCCACCCCAGGGGAGGACATCCATTACACAGTAATCTCATGCCTGGGAAATTAATATCTCCTACCCCTAACCCTGCAGGAGACGGGACCTCCAGTTATTCGTCCTTATCCAAGAAGACTAGAATATCTATCCATTTCTTGATATTACAGAAAGGTAGCAAATTCCCCTCAGTTATTTTAAGACCATGAGTCCAGCCGGGGCTCAAACCCTCGACCTCCCGCACAACACAATCCAGTGCTCTAACAAATTGAGCTAGCCAGGAGGTGGTTCAACAGAATCCTCCAGAATCCTCAAGAAAAGTTTAAAATTAAAGCTGAAAAATTCAGTAACTCACAACATTTAAGTCATCAAATCGCTGGATAATTACCAAACATCTTTGGTCTTCTAAGAAGCAAAATCAAAAAAAATTTTCCAGCAGAAATTTAAATATTTTATAGCAATCACACACTATTTACTTATTAAGCATTTTCATTTTTGAGTTGTATGGTATTTTGATATACCCTCTAGATGGTTCTGATAAAATACTCAGCAATACTACACACCAAAACATCTAGAGTAAGTTATTTTTCTTTCAACTGAGCCTTTATTTTGTGCACTCCTTCCACACAAACTTAGCCAAGCTGTCAAACAAGTTTTTTGAACATTTCAAAATAACTAAATGTCCAAACAGCCAAATGGAAGCATCTGATATTTGTACTTAATTAGTGCATTATTTGTACTCTACTTGAAGTAGCTGTAAAATAAAAATATTTACAGTATTATCTACTCAGTAAAGGTAATACTTTTTGTGATTGAACATAATATAACTCCAGTTAATCCCCGAGTTCCACTGTATTCCTTTTATGCACCATAAAACTGTAAAATTAGTTTTGGTCAAATGGGAACAACTGTCCTCCAATAGATGAATTATTTTCATTCATTTCTTTACTCAATGTTTTGCATTTGAATCTCTTTGTCACTAATGTCATCCAATTTAAACTTACAATTACTTGTAATCAATGGTATCAAATCAAAAAGGAAAAAAATATGCTTAATTGTATTAGCAAACATTTGAGGATATTTTACAATTTTTGCTTACTTTACATGTGAGCCAGATTTAGAAAATTAATCTCAGCAATGACAAATACGTGTGGAGGCGCGGTGGCCTCATGGTTAGTGCACTCGATTCCGGATCGAGTGGTCCAGGTTTGAGCCCCAGCCGGGACACTGTGTTGTGTTCTTAGGCAAGACACTTTACTCTAACAGTGCCTCTCTTCACCCAGGTGTATAAATGGGTACCAGCAATTTAATGCTGGGGATAACCCTGCAATGGACCAAGCATCCCATCTAGGGGGGAGTAGAAATAATCCTAGTCGCTTCATGCTACAGAAACCGGAGTTAAGTACTGACCTAATGGGCCACTAGGCTCGTAAACAGACTTTACTTTTTTTTTAATGACAAATACATGTAATGCAAATTCAAACAAGTTTGCTGGTACAACACTGAAACATTCAAATGGCTCAACTATGAGACTGAACAGAGTATGTTATTTTATTTTAAATCATTTATGCAGAGAGGCAAGGGAACTATCACATTTTCTTAACAGTATTTTGAATAATGGACTATGAAACATCAAAGGAGGATCAAATAGAAATAAAGTCCTACCCAATGTCCCCACAATCGATCTCCAACACCCCCAGCCTTCCAAAGAAAATAAATAAATATCGAAAATTTATAAAATTTCACGATATTATGTACAAGTGAAGAAATCTATTATTTGATTATGCCACATGTGAAAGGTTCAACATCATATGCTGCTAAAAACTAAAGGTAACATACATGTTAAGAATTACAAATAATTTAACAAATGGACAGAAGAGATTTTGAGGAAGGAGATCTGAATAGTACCCACAGAAGTGAAGTTGTCAAATAAGAATCTTCAAGAGATGACGCTGTTTTATCAAAATTGCTTCCAAAGCTTGATGCAGAGTTACTGTACCTACAAAGAAAACAGTTGACCTTAATTTCAACTCAAGAAGTCAAAATAAATCAAACAATAACAGACGGTCACAAAGTCTCTAACAATGTTACTCAGGAAAACTGCATCGACTCTTTACATAAAAACAATATCCAAGTACTATTGGCATGTCATTTAAAGAAGAGACAGTGGGTAAGTTTCTAAAGAACCTGGGGTGCTGTGTTGGTTGGGATTATTAGAAGGTAATTGGCAGACACAGAGAGTTACTAAAGCTTTAAAAACCTTCTACAGTGGCCAATTGACATTTTTAAAACCCAGCCAATACTTTACACCCTAATGTTAGTTTGCATACTCTTGATACTGTTCTCTTTGCATTTTCTTTGTTGCTGACTTGGAGAATTTGTTTAACAGTCAAGAGCGACCTTTAGTTGGCCATCATTTCTTTTATTCTCAGGATCTTGTTGTTTGATTCCGCCATTTTATGGTAAAAGAAATTAACTGCTAGTCACTCTTAAGGTTGATCAAACCAATTCATCCAGGAAAGATGAGTTTGTTCTGTAGGCATATTTGACAGTTAAACATTAGTTAAAATTTCCTTTAACCATTTCCTTGTGAATTAGTAGCAAGAATTTGGTTTTGGATCAGGTTAATATCATCTAGCTGATAGGATTGTCTCATGCACTAAAACTCTTTCAATTCCAGGAGTGACGACAAGTTAACTTCAGGAAGACTATTCACAGCTCAAATAAACAAAACAACCATGACCCACTTTAAGTTATAAAATCACTTACTGATGATTTACCTGAAAAATTTTACATTTCTCAAAGCCAATCGGAAAGGAGAATTTTTTTGTGTGTATTATTACAATATCGATAACATAAAATTCAGTACACACAGGGGGATACAAATAAGCAAACATATCCGTCACATTATAATATATTTACATAAACCAAACTTTCTTACTCAATTTTTAAGATTTCGGGATTTAAATATTGTTATTTACCTGTGCTTCGTCGCCAATTCTCGTAGCAGTCTCACGGACTTGATCATCATAAGATGACGGTAATGAAGATTCCACGTCTAAGCTACTGTCTAGCGTTACTGCATCATACGCAGGAGGCGGTATTTGGGGGCGAGAGAAGCCATTCATTGGATTTAATGTCGGACTGGTTCTGTTCAACGAAAACGTTTCAACTCCGTTACGCGGAGGTAAAAATAAATTTACACCATGGCCCACCTGGGTAGAGGCAGAATATACTCCTCTAGATAATCTTTGTCTTCTACGTTTTCTATAAGAGAGATACCAACCATATCCTATAACGACAACAAAGATCAAGACCCCGAAAACGATTCCAACTATGACGAATACGCGATGATCAAAATGAAAGCTGACTTGAACATTCTCGGAATTTTCAGGAGTAACGGGTCGCGGGGCCGGCTTGCATAGACCAGATTCGCATTCTTCATCTTCAAGGCAGTCTGTATTAGAGCTACAAAAGGCTGTAAACCTGATGTCCGGATCTCTACAGCTGTTACGAACACAAATCTTTCCGCCATTGCAAGTATCGTCCGAGATGCAAGCATCGGGACATTTCCACCAACGTTTGCAAGCACTGGAGCAACAAATGATCCTTATCGACGAGTTTTTCTGATTACACTCAAAGTTTTCAGTACAAGCAAGGGCAAGCTCAGGAAAACTCTGGAGAAAAGCCAAACAAGTTATGACACTAACACCAATATGCATGGCGTATGAACAATGTACGCTCCTGGTACTGCTAACGAGACAGCTTATGATCTTTACCCTCCCGTCAGGATCTGGTGCGAGTAGACAAAGCCTAGAACCCACTCCAGCGCTCCTTTCTCGGCATGAAAAATTCGTAAAGATGATTTCTCAGCACTTAACAGCTAGCAGGGACTTTAAGCAAACCCCGACGGCTACGGCAACGAGAACATGGAAAAACAATAGATCTAATTGGCAGAACAATAGCCCAGCACGTGGGTATTAAAACTTTGT